CTAGCGTCGGTGTTGCCGTCTTACCGTACTAGGACCTAATCCCACATGTATGTATACATAAATATTTCAGTACAAAACACTCTGTTAAATAGCATTTTCGCTTCAAAAGCCTGTTCAAAAATTATTTATTACAAGGTATCCTACTGAAGTTATTGTATCAACATATTTCGGCAGTCATGGGAAGGCATCCAGAGTACTTAAAATCGTTGAAGGGCTTATGGCTGTTATGCTTAGATAACCATCACCGGGCTAAAGCCGCATTCCCTGCTAATTTTAAACAGTCTTGAGTTGCTGAACTATTTTTAGTTGTTTTTTTTTTTTACAATCAGTGTTATTTTAAAGGAATGGAGAGAAGTATTTGTAATTTAAGGGAAAGTTAAACTATTCGTACGTTAAATTCAAATTATCAATCTAGCTTTTATTGCCGGTTTATGAATTTGCTGAGTGCTTGTTGTTGTTGTTGTTGTTGCTGTTGTAGCAGCATACAAGCTCCCCAAAGAGTTTTTGCTGAGTGCTTGATGAGTATTCCTTTGTGTCGATTTGGTACCTTATGCTATATGTATTAGCTTGGCTGACCCATGAAATTTCACATGTACCCTTATTTGATCCCTAACGGTGCCAAAAAAGTAGAAACCTAGGCTTGATACTTTTTCATAATGCTCCTTTTTCCACAACTACCTAGTTCCCTTACATTACAATTTTGTTCCTTGAACAGCGAAGCCATGGTGACTCGGTTGCGATCATCCGAGAGCTGGACATTGACATAGAATATGTTCTAAGTGTTACATTTTCGTCACATGGAATGTATTTTTGATTCTGTGACAGAACGACTTTGCGCGCAGGAGATAATGGGTGACAGTGTACCGAAGGTACCCCAAATTCTATCTTGCAATCCAGCCTTAGAAGTGTTAGAATATGTAGTTTTCGCACTGGAAGAGCGAAGAATGTTGACCTTGATTGCCCTGCAAGATGCTAACCTTTACCTCGGGTTTGGCTAGCATATCACCATGTAATGACTGTTATGCAGATCATATTGTAGTGGAGAAAAACGGCCCATATCTCACCGACCGTTTTCCTGGTATGAAGCATTGGAGGCCTTCCTATAGCTCTTTTGGTAAATTGTTTAAGAGATAGTATAATATTTCCTAGCTTAGAGATGTGTAAGGAGGGATCTTATAAGAAACAATTGAAATCTTGTCT